AATAGTGGCAACAAGTAAACGAAGAATGATTGTTGTTAGTTTTCTCTTTAACGACATACGGTAGCTTTGGTTCAAGGCTCGGCCGTTAGCTGTGATTTAGCTTTTAATGTTCATCGACGTTACTGATGTTTAAAAATAGGACGGTCCATCGCAAATACATCTTTGGTTTGGGTGGCACAGCTCTGTGGGAAATAGGGTGACATGCTGTGTGTGTGTGTGTGTGTGTGAGAGAGAGAACCAAAGTGAATGTTTGGAGCCTCATTAACAGAAGAATATTTCTTTCCAAAGTTAAATAATATTCCTATGTGAAAAAAAGCTGTTGTTGCATTAAAAATATATACTGAAAATACAGACCAAAAAATAAAAATTATATTAAAAATAAAAAATAAAAAATTGTACTAATGAAACAATATTAAAAAAGAAAAACATATTATATTAAAAATAAAAATTGTACTAATGAAACAATATTAATGATAATTAATTTTAATCAAAATATTAAAAAATACAGATAAATAATATTCAACTTTCCATGTAGTTTCAAACATTAAGCCAGCCAGAAAGTGAGCAGAGCTTTTATACTAGTTCGTGCAGTTCAATTGACACAATCATGGTCAAATAATGAATATAATAAAAAAAAAAATAACCATGTGGTGAGACGGTGAAATATTCTCAGTGACTTCAGATGTTTTGAATCTTGACCCTGAAGTTAAAATCCCTCCAAACTGCTGACCTTGTTGACCTTCTTACTAAACTACACATGAGGACAGTGAGACACTGAACTGCAGTAGGAAAACACACAACACTGACTGACTGGTGCGCAGCTGGTTGTGGGTTGCTGGATCGGCACATGTTTTCAAGTACTAGTATTCCATGGAAGTATCTGACCAAATACTAGTATAGAAGGTTTTTTTTTTTTTTTAAGAATACATGTATGTTATGCTAAGTATCACATTTACTGGAAAGTGTTATTTACTCTTGACCTAACACGGTGACTCAGTACTGCGTCTCTGTAATGTAAACATGCCTGAAGTCACCGCAAACATCGGCTTCCACCGAGTCACAAACACACGTCTGCGAGACATCTGCTGAACTGTGACGAGGACACGAGCTCAGCGGGGGGTTGAGCTACATCCGACCGAGCCTCCTGTAAGCACTACTGCGTACGTCAGCTGTGCTCGCACACACACACACACACACACACACACACACACCACTGCTCTGGTACTACGGTACTACACACTGTTTACAGTAAATGAAGGCTCTAATCTTGATAGCCGCTGCCGTGGGGACGTCTTATCGTCACGTGGCGGCGTTTTGATGCCCCCAGTTCAAACGCCTCACCGTGGCCGAAGGCTGCCATACCTCGGACCAATGACAGATTCCCACCAACTGTCCAGCTCTGACCGTGAACTCCGTGTCACCCCGCGGTTCTCTGGGCGCAGTCCTGATGAATATTGTTTGCCTGGCAGACATGCTCAACTCATCAGAGAGAGAGAGCGTGCAGCTGCACCCAAACACCAACAATAGGAAGCCTGTTCTGAGGCAGCGGAGGGCCGGCTCCCCTCTTCAGGGCTGTGGGTGAAGTGAGCGGGTGGTCAAATATTTCAGGGGTTTTGCAATAGGATAATTCTTTTTGATGTTCCTGGGAATGGAAGCAGTCATCTGCAAATATTACACGTACTTATGTGATTAAAATATTTTGTTAACTCTGTCAACTGCTCCGTTTGCTCGGGTTCTTTCGCTTACCTTGTTCTCGTTCTTTCCGATGGGACTTTGACAGGTGTGAGTGTGGATACTCAGAGTCAGAGTACATGCTGTTGTACAGTCACACTGTCAGGTACTACAGCGACCAACAAACAGCTTTTTATTACAGCAACGATGGATGTTTTCATAAACACCTGAATGGTTGCTTTGCAAATCACAGTTAGTCTAATGCAGTGTTTTAGTTTAAGAAATGAACACGGATTCATGAATTGTGGACACAAAATACTTGTGGCCTTAATACTACTACTAATACAACTACTATAACTACCTATTATAGTAATAATAACAATACTTACTAAATATACTAGAAAGAAGAATAACTGGGTATTACTGCTACATTAAATTTTACTTTATTATTTTATTTTAAATTTTGCTCATGTTGCCCAAAATTATATATATATATATATACACACACACATCTGAATACCTACTGTAAATAGTTTGAATCGAAGTAGTAGTACAGGCAGATGAAAGCATGTGAAGTACGTAAGTAAACACTTTTTTAAGTCGTGATTATTGTGGTTTGCAGCTAATGAAAATCTAAACTCAGAAAAAGTAATATTGTAGAGTTCACTCTCATTATGTAAAATAAGTGTAGACACACAAGATAGACACACAATTATCCTTGGGTATTTTCAAGAAAGTGTTTCTGGGGAGAACAGAACAGGAACGTGGCACCTTGAAGTTCTCTTCCCTCCTACATTTTAATATTTTTGTTGCATTTATTCTGATTATTTTTTTTCTCCACTTTCACACTCACCCTGAACTAAATAAAAGGAATACATTTTGTGCGGGCATCGACGCACAAACACAAAGACATGCACACATACTTCTTTGTTGGAAGCATTTGCCAATTAGCAAGTGTTGGAGCTGCGGCGGTAATTAGGCCTTCCAGTCAGCTGGTGCACACAGCCTCGCCGAGACAGGTCCGAAGCCGAACGCCTCACTATTTGTCCAGCAATTATGTCAGGTCCCCATGTCACAGTATGGACGTGACCAATTAGCTGAGTCCGGCTGCAGAGAAGGAGAGGGATTACAGCAGGAAAGATGGGG